ACCACGTCCAACGAACCCAGACTCGCGCTCGCTCCTAATTGCAAAGTTGGCGAAAACAAGAAGTATCTGGCAAACACGGAACACGGGGTAAATACAGTGGGGTTCGTTTGTTTAAGAGACGGTGGGAGTGGTGTGCCATCTCTGATTCTCCGGCATAATGGACGATCCCGGGGCAAGAAAGCAGAGGGGTGCGAAGATAGGGAGAAGAAACAACGAAAGATAGAAAAGGTGTTCCTTGCTAGCAAAACGAAGAAGAAAAAAGAATACCCTTGTTTGCAGATCATTATAGCATGTCAAAAGGGAAAGAAGATTTCACTGTTTTCTGCGTAGCTAGTCGACCTCTCGCTAATAAAGAGAGCTTGCAAAGATATGTTCTAAAATAAAGCGCCTCTAGCATCATCAACTCTTACCAGCCCTATTTCACTAATTAACATTCACTTCCACGAAATGATCACTGCACGAAGTATGTACGGTTTTATTCTTATTTAAGTCCGTCTCCTTGAAGACCATGTTTATAGCTTTTTATTAAAATCTCAAAAGGCGCACAAAGAAATTACATAAAGGTAATCCGCGCCGCGGTTAGAAGTGAACTTGATTAAATTTTTTCCTTGCACGAATATGCGTCGAACTACATAAATCTGCGTAAGTGGCGCTTGCCTGCAGTTCGTACAGCACTCCAAATCAACCTTTTTGTTTACGAACGATATTAACACGAGTTAACTTTTCCTCCGCTACGTTCGCCGGATACTCCAGGATTCTTTGATTAGCAATTCTGATTGCAGAACGCAGTTGGCCAACGAGGTCTACGCTGTGAATTAGATACACCGGAAACCAACTATGAATTTATGATACTTCATTGCTCGCCGTGAGCGCAATCCGCCTGGAATACTTCTAGTTTCCGATATATTCAGTTATCTTTCTTATCTACTGAACTACCACTATTCTGATACCGCGCGTTCCTGCTTCGTCATTTTGGAATTAACATTTTAATTAAGGGTACGCCAGAGCAAATGCATCAACCGCTCACCCTTCTATGACGTAATGCTCGCCAACTTCGGAATGTGATAAAAGGAAAGACGAGAGAAATGAGAATATATCAATATGCATAAATTATATTGAATGATCGTTGAATTTATGGATATCGCGATAGTCATTAATACGAATTGTATTAATTAGCACATGAGCACACGCAATCAACCTTGGACGTCGAGTTTGGTGTAATATAAATGACTTTAGTTCCGAGAAGTTCAATAATGATAAGCCGCGGTGATCGAAGAGAAATCACAAAAGCAAAAACATAATTACGCGAGAATCCTCGTGTGGAAAGACGGACGAGAGATGTTAATTACAACGAACAAAGGTATGTGTTTTGGTTTCGGCACGCCTAAGGGAATTATTCCGTAATTGTCACAAAGAGAATACGCAACACACCGTTGTTTCGATTCACGTTGCTCAAAGCGTGCGCGATCCTGTGTGACCCGACCGAGTGCGGTTTTTGGAGCGTTTGATTGGTTAATTAATAGAATCCGTTCCTCGAGTATAATAACATTTGACATCAACTGCATTCACTATACGTCAATAACCTCTGGGCTACTATTTATTAAAGCCTTAAAGCATATACTACATGGAGGAAGCACGCCGAGTTAAAAAGTGTAGATAACTATGAGAGAGAGAGTAATAGTTTTGGGTACTCCTTCTTTCTGTCTAATAGTAGAGATAGAGGGGGGGGAAGTCTCCGCCAATTATCCTAAACGGCGCGAAATCACGTGCGTACGTGAGAGAGAAAGGTAGTACCCAAACCATCATCTCTCTCTCTCTCACCGTTGTCTACATTTTTTCCTTAGGCGTGCTTCCTCCATGTAGTATATGCTCTAATTGTAAGATTAAAGCAGCTTTATTCGAGTTTTATTCGAAAACTGATGTGACGTTTGTCACACATTTATAAGATAGTTTTGCTGCAGAAGTAATTCAATTACTGATAAAACCAGAGTCTATATAAAATATTCATACGTGCGAGAAAATTATTCATGATGTCTAATATAAACAGTATTTCACATATTACAAATAAAATTTAATGTAGATTCTGATATTGGTTTTTCTCAACCTTGTTAGTATAATTACTTCCAGTGAATGGATTACCATACAATGCCATACATACATAGGTACATGTCCGGTAAGATTTACAGAGGTATGTTAAAGCTGCTTTTTGTAATAAAACACCCTGCATGAGAACAGCTTTCTGTTTGTGCAAGGAAAGCAAGTCACGATTAAGTCTGATATATTGCTATTTATATATCAGTAAACTCTGATCTAATAGCGTGCAAATATATCTTAAGACGATTCAGCGCATAAGCCAACAACGTTATCGGTCAAGCATGATAGAATTTCGTTGAACATACAATCTTCTGAGTAAAGAAAGGCGAGCATTATTTCAGGATTATTAACGGCCTGTATGTTGTCACCTGAAACTATGTACTTTTCTCGCAATGGAATACAAAGTGACTAACAATTTCGTGATCAGGCTTTAAGAACTCCAGACAAACAGCTCTCAGAAAAAAGGATTTGCATTTAGTAAATGTGTAAAGACTGAAACTTCATTATCTTTAGAAAACTGTTAAATCATTCTCTGTTCTCTTCAAGATATTTTTGTATTAATTTAATTCTTATTTTCATTTAATCGGATTATTGAACAATCCTATCAGACAGTATCTGTGAAAGACATTATATTTTCCTGTACGTTTTAAACGGTAGTTACAAATTACAAAGAGAACACTATGAGAATCACTAAAATAGACTTGCATAAATATGCATATGTAGAAACCAAGTGGAAAAAAAAGATTGATGAGACGACTTAATTATTTGCGACCTTAAAGAAAAAAGTAACATCAATGATCAACATTAGACGATCTCTATTTATCACTATTTCTGTTTTAAATTATAAAAAGGTAATTTACTACAAAACGTCGCATTAGCATTCTTTTTCACTTCGTTTCAATTCAGAACTAAAGACATAACGACATATTTCATTTGGACAGGTCGCTAAGTTTGATTCTGTGCAAAGCAAAGTTGAAAAATATGTGACTGAAATTAACTCGGATAATATGTTCTGAAACGTTCATTACTTCTTCTGTCCGTCTAACGGGATCTTATTGATCGCAAAGTTGGAACAGTTAATTGTCATTCTCTTTGCCAGAACTTTAAATGAAGCCTCAGCGGATGTTTCCATTGTTTTTGAGCATGAAGCTTGAGAGTATCATTCTCGGTTATAACAGAGTTCGCATCGAGATAAGTTCCTCTACTATATAGAAAGGTATGAGGGTATCAGTCCGCTATACATAGAAGGAAAGTGAAACTCAATAATTATGCCACTGCTGGCAAGCGAATTATCTAGCCGTGTTTTCTTGACGTGCTGTTCTATTAGAAACGACAACGGGCTCGTTAAGAAAGTTTTCCTTTCCGCAAACGCGCACTCGAGGCTTCGAGGCTGCATTCAATTGTCAGTCCTCGTGTCCGTTCTACTGAATGAACTGTGCGCACCATTCATTCTATAACTCTAGCTTCGCATCTGAAAATTGTCTTCGAACATTCAAATTCGGACTTCGAACATCATTAAAGCTTTAGTCACCTTCTTGGTCTACGAAAACTAATTTTCAGTTTATTATGATCTATTTCGTTGATGATTGCTGTTCGTCAGAAGATATTCCCTGATGAGCCATACATATGCAGAGTTTCCGGCTTTACGACTTCTGTTTATCGCCTTTTGAATTTTAGTATCTAATCGTTGATGATGAATGTCTCTTTCACCCCTTGACTACGGCTGACTTTGAGACGCACCCGGCTGTACCATACGGTAGGAATTGAGAACGGCAAAATTTTGGATAAGAATGCATTTTTGTAAAAACATATTTTAATAATAAAAAAACTAAATTTCACTACATTAAAACAATATAATTTATTTCTTTGTATTCTGAACCGAATTTCTACTATAAATATTAAAAAAAGGCGACTACAATAGGATAAACGCTCTCAGTGTTCAAACGCAAAATTTCTAAGTGCCTATAGGCGCCCACAGTAGCCCAGGGTTTAACTTATCACCTTATTTCGAAGAAAACTCTGTGATTAACTTCAGGGAATAAGATTCATTAATGAAATGAAACGTACGATATGGCACTATATTTGTCTTGATAATAAATAATGTGTACAAGTATGTGTTAATCATCTACAATCTACGTGACGTTAATCATCGATATTCAGCGGTCTAAGGAAATGCGTGAAACCAGACAGTCATGGTCAGACGGCTTGCGAGTCACATACGGTAAGTAAATACCTACACAACTCTACGTGAAACTTGACCGCTGGACAAATTCTACTTAAACTCAACTCATCGATTCTTCGAACTCACTTTCTATTTACGATTTATATTTGTTCATTTAATAAAAAATATTGTCTTTGAAAAGATTAAATGGTAATATACAAACACCTATTTTTTTGTCAAAAGTACGTATTTTTTTAAATGTGAAGAGTAAATTAAACGTTCATTAGCGATTAAGGCAGTACGGTGTTATGAAACGACCCGTAGGAAATCCGCACACCACAGTACCGACTGACCTCGGCATCGATTATGATACGCGACAGACGGACGCGACATGGTAGTACGTGTGCTAAAAGAAGAGGAATGCACTGTTCCAAGGAGGGGAACCAGGCGTTCACAGCTGCGCTCGATCTACAAACGCAAAATACGCATGCGTGTTTCTTCCCGAGTCGTCTGTTACGTTGGAGTAACAGAACAGGACACAGAAAATTTTGTGCGATCGTGTTCTTGTAGTCATTTTCCGTATTTCTCCAATCACTTTCCGTGATCAACAACCTCGAGTGCATATTAGAATAGTAAAGTGCGTTCGCGCATCGTACGAGACTAATAAACTACCGGATCGACCGCGGTAGCAGCGACAAAAACGGAGCACGTTTGCGGTTGTGCAGAGATAGAGAACAGGACTTACGGTTTGTCGGGCTGCGATTTGCGCGCCAGCATCTCGGCCTTCTGGATCTCCTCGGCCCTGGTGACACTTTTCGTCCTCCTTAGTCTGACCTTTGTATCGTTTTCATGCTCCATCGTCATGCCGTTCTGCAAAGAAGGACGGGCACCACACGCACTCAACGCTGTTCCGGCACGCACACAGTTACACACACGAACCCACACAAACGCCGGGTAAATCTACGCGCGAACCGGCACAGCACTCGATTTGCGCTCGCACGGGAAGAAGAAATTACTGCACCGCGCGTAAAATCGACGACTGATGAAGACGAGACGTTCACTTTCACTGACGTTGCGTGTCACGCGATCGGGATTAAAAGAGCTAAATGTAAGACCTGACTACTACGACCGATACGTGTCACCTGGTCCCGATCTCGAACGTCTCTACTACAACCTTACCTTGAACGCACGTTTACACGCGGGCACTCGCGACGACACTACCGGCTTTCAACGATCATGTCTTCGCCACCGGCCGGCCGAGTGTTTATCTTTGTCTTTTTTTTGTAGATAACAATATCGTTACCAGCCGCGATATGTTTTCGTATGACACCACTTTACTATTAGGATATCACTACATGGCTTAAAACTAGCTTGAGCAATATTTTGATTGTTGAGGAGGCAAATGTCGAAGTGTGGCTAAAATTTGTAAGGTTTAATTTCAATAAAAGTATTAAATAATAAGATATAACAGGTATCACCTTGATCTTAATAACCTAAGAAAACTACATATGTATATCACATTTTTACGTTCTCGTCTTTCAAGAATTATCTATCAACTTATTAAACTTGTCACGTAATTGCGTCTTGGCAATGCTAACTGTTTCGAGGTCGTAATTTTAAAAATAAACACGCTTGAACAAATTCCTATAATCCGTTTTTATTCATGAAAAAATGTTGCTCTTAGTACGATGTCAAAGATATAAATTTTACGTAAAGTAATTACGTAATTACGTACTTTAACCTGACCTTTATAAATCTCGGATCTGAACGTTAGACTGTGGCCTATCCGCGTTCTAAATACTGTACTTTTATAGTCGTTCGAATAATGCCAAGTACAATCCGCAATTAAAACGGATAATTACCACGTATCGTAATCCGGTTTTACAGGCTGAAACTTCGTATTTTCCACTAGTAGTTACAATTTAATGATACTTTTGTATCCCAGTTGGCCATGACAAAATGTAATTCTCTTGCATTCGTATTTACCTCTGAGTACTATCGGAACGATTTAATTGTAACTTTAACACAGGATTCTACTATGCATAAGAGCAGCGGAAATAATTTCGCTGATCACAAAATTCGTGTTGAAAAACAATTCAAATAATTTGAACAACGAAGCAAACTCTTTTAACTTTTTATCCACGATTTTCCACGATATTTGTAATAAATAATTAAGGTAGATAATTATTTTAGTCAAATATCCATTAAGTTTTCGAATGTCGCAAGCTTTGCTTTCCAAGTTTGCTGACTAAGGGATCTTCGACTTGGTTTGCCGGCAATTCCAGTACGGTCGCATGCTGTGTCGTGCAAACCAGGAACTCCAACGAGCTCCGCGAAAGTTTCAGGGTAAATAAACCAGCGACCAAACACGTGAGACAATTTCGCGTGTCAATTACACGACTCTTCGAGTCCTTGGCAGCGGATGAAGAATCGTTGGCGAAAGAAAGACGGGGGCGTAGCCGTGCTGGGAGGAAGAAAAGCTAATTAAAGTAGCGCATCCGCGAGCGAAAACCCACAAAGATCCACGACAAACGTACAGGAAATCCACCGCTTTAAACAGTGCGCTAATGCCACGATGCATCCACTTCCGACGATTCACAATTAAGCGCTCGTCTCTTGACGAGGACCGTCGCGAAACGCTATCAAGCTCGTTACTAATTATCTTCAGCCGCGATCTATCAGAGCTTGCGAAGCGGAATAGAGCTAAATGTAACTTTCTCGCGTCACGTAACTGTAGCAACATACTCGCGTTACGTCAGACTTTCGTTCAAAACAAAATCGTCAGTTTGACGAAACTGTTCTAGCTGGTGAGTGTAACAGCTAATTTGCATCTTACTTCTATAACTTGTAAATGGAATTCGTATGGAATACGAATACGTATGTAATTAATACGTAATATGTAATTAATACGTATTAAACGATAGAAATAAACGATTCAGTGTTCGTCAACCATGCGTCACGAATTTATTCAGTACTTTGTACAATTTACCAATAATTCGCGTCAATGTATTGGAACGTTCAAACGACACGGAACAGCGTCTATATTTATTCTCCGTTTCGTTTCGTTTTGCGCTGATACACCGTGTTCGGTAGCACACGTTTCGTATAGCCGTTACCGAGATGATACGAAGTACAGGAAAGAAGAAAAGTCGTAGCAGTCGTTTACGAACTCCCTTTACGGCCAACCACGGGTATTACCGGGTACGGTGGCAAGAACGTTACTCTACATACGCGGTTACACGTCGACGCGACGAGATCTCCGTGGACGTCTACGAGGAGACGGGGTAGTGAGTTTGTAGGATTCGGTGCTGCGGCGCTTATGCTCGACAGGACCCTTTTATTGACCATTTTGCACCGCACCGTAGTATCTAATATCCCGGGGACCAGTGTCCTCGATTTTAAAAAACCTTGTCACGCGAAGACCGTAATAAAAGGGACACAGAGCTGGGAAATGGGGGAATACTGAAAATTGAGCGGGGGGTAAAAAAATGGAAAAAGCATCGTTAACGAAGCGTTGGTAAACCCGTAGGTTTCACGAAATCGCGAGCAAGTCAATTAAACGATACGTGGCATGACTCAGTCCCGCAGGAGATCTCCAACACCGCGTTTTTAAATTAAACACTCGCTTCCTCGTTGAACCGCAAGGAAGGAACAACCTTCGGTTTATGCTTTACGCTTTGCAGCAGAAAAAAACCATTTATTGGTCCACTTTATTGAGCAATTATTCTACATTTTTATTAATATTGTGTAAGGAACTGTGATTTCTGGTGTCAACAACATTCGCAAAGAAGATTGCTGGCGTTATATATGTTGTCTCTTTTTATGTGACTGTGTTATCCGGCTACTGACATAAAAGTTTCGTTAAACGCTTCTCGTCGACATCTCAAGTAGATACTCTTCGAAAATAACAGTGCCATTTTCACGACCGTTTGCAGCCGATTACGTGCCCGATCATCTCGCGTGATTAAACATCATACGTGTATTTTTAATCCGGAGGGATAAACGTAGGTTGAGCCATGGCGATATGATCAAACTGTTAGCCGTGTACGCAGTCCGATTGTAATTGTGAAATGATAGTAGTCGAACTCGGACGACTCGAACACGAAATGCCCTTTGCAATAGATTATCATTGCTTTCATCGAATGAACTTTTATATCGAAATACCATATAAATCGCTTGATATAAAAAATGTTTCTTTGACTACTACTGAAATATTACAAATTTTAATTCATATTCTTCGGATGTCTCATTCAATTATACGTCATTAGACTTATGAACGGGAGTAATCTATAAATTTCTATAATTATTTTTACTTCGTGTACATGAAATTTCAG